GCTCTGATGCTCTGATGTCTGGTCTGAATTATCCTTCTAAGGTTCCGCTGCTCCAGCATCAGTGTCCGTTGGCTCTCTGTCCTCAACTGCCCTTGATCTGTAGTCATCGAGGAGATCCTCAGTGGCCCAGAACCTGTCAAAATTGTCTAAATGCAGACACACCATGAAAATAAGCCCAGTACCCTTTATTAAGTACTCCCTAGACTAACCTTTGACTTAATAAAATGGGCCTATCAGAAACATTTCTCCTGTTTCCTCTATATTTAGATTTCATGAGAGTATTCTAAGTTCCAGGGATTGGCAGGGGTCTACATGTGTAAAGAAAATATTTTAAAAGTCTTCTGGCAGAGTCTATTGCCAGCCCTTGGGACTGGTACGTGGATACAGGCAGGTTCCCTGTATAATTTAGGGACATAAAGTGAGACAAGAAGGTTTGTCATGAAAATCTGTTTAAGACCAAGCCAGAAACAGCACTCAGTCTGAAGTGGTCATTCTAGAGCTGTTCTGCAAAGACTTCTATCCTTGTAGGTTTCGTGGCTTCTCAGTAATTACCTTGTGGCTGCATCTTGCCTGTTAGCTCATTCTGGGCTCTTTCTCTTCCTTTACCTCCTATACCCCCACATTTATCTGTGATTCTATTTGTCATCAGTCACTAAGCACTTGTTTACGAAGGGTCCCTGGGATAAAGCCATGTCCTATGGTAACCTGACAGAGGTTAACAGGGTCTAGCAGGAATGCAGTGACATAGTTTAATTCATTCATTACACAAATATTTATCAAGTGCTGACTCCAGGCACAGCCCTGTGTGAAGCACTCCATTAAGCTTTCACATGACATTGAGTCCCAGCCAACTAAGCCGTGCCGTACAGCACTGATCTTTGAAAATATTGTCTGCTTTGTGTATGATGTCATGACATCTAGACAAGTTTTCCCCTCTAGAAAACTTTTTCCAACTTTATATAATGAAAATCGATGGGATCAAAGATCCCATTGTTCCATGATTAAAGATCAAATGCTAGTTAATATCTTCCAAAAGGAGGAAAACACAACAAATTCATGAATGCCATTCCACACCGAAGTGCCTCTGGGCAGGCAGAGTAGTGGCTGTAGTCAAGGACACACAGTCCTTTAAATCAGACACAAGAGCCCTCCCTGGTGGTGCAGTGGGTTAGGATGCAGCACTGCAAGATGGCCATAGCCACTTCAGTGAAAGTTCGATCCCTGCCCCGGAGATGATCCACATGGCACAGCAGACCTCTCCTGACCCGCCTGCTGCTCTCCGCAGCAGCGTACTTAATTGATATGCCTGTTCTGCTCCCCGCTCTGTCTCTGGTGGATTCTCTGACCACCCCTGCACCTTTGGTCTGTACCCCAGTTATGTAAGCATAAGTAAATAAAACTTACAAGAAAAAAATCAGACACATCTAGGTGAATCTTACCCCATGCATGCTGCAATGTGGTCTTGTAACTCTCCTAATCTTTGCAGCCTGTGTTTTTTCATGTATATAATGGAAACAATCTTTGTCTGAAGAGTTTTATGAAGTTTCAAACTATTAAGTGCCTAACATAGAGCTTAGCATAGAACAGGTGCTTAGTTTATGGGGCATTGCCTGCTTTTACTGGTGGTCCTTCATGCAAGGAGACGGAGGGACTACCAGTTCTGGAACACTAGCAGTAGGCGAGGCCCTCTGTCAAGGATGCCCCAGGTGTTTTCATTTAGTCCCTCATCACAACACAGGAAAATGGATCTTCTCGTTACCCCCGTTTTACAGACTGGAAAACTGAGACTTAGAGTGCTTCAGAAAGCTGTCCAAGATCAAACAGCAAGTTAGTGATTGGGAGAGCATTGGGTTTGTGCCATGAATATACTCTCTGCTGTCACCTTGTAGTAGCAACTGCACACAAGGATTATGCTCGTTTTTCTCAGTCAAAATTTGATGTTTTCTAACTTAGATGTATCAGAATTAGCTTCAAGTATAATTTTTCAAAAATACATTTTTACTGTGAACTGACACCACACCTATACAAGTTAGACCTACAAGGAATTATCAAAAATAACTCTGGGTAGGTGAGCTTAGCTCTTTCTAGAATTAATTCCCAGACCTAGAATTGAGTGTCGTTCAAAGTGAGATAGTTTTGTTAGACAGTTCGATTTGCCTCTTCAAAGGCCACCTGCATCCTTTCCCACCCAGGTGGCTTTGTCCCAGTGGCCAGCCTATGGGAAACCCTTCAACAGGCTTGCAGTGCTCTGTTTGGTGTGGACTTTTTATAATAATGTAATCACACATTCTTATTTTTCTTTGTGGCTACCTTCTTTCACTAAGCATAATGTTCTCAAGTTTCAGCCACAGTGTAGCGTGTATCAGGACTTCATTGTTTTTTATAACTGTTGGTGGGAATGAGTCTGATCCAGCCCCTATTAAACTATTTTGATAGGGCATTTCCTCATACTATTAAAAATAGAGCGTGTCTAGTCCTGGCACCTATTGGAAGGATATAGAAACACTAAATAACGAGTTATATGTTGTCTGGCCTGAGGGACCTAAGGTCAATGAGGCTTTCCTGCCTCCCCGTTTTCTTATCTGTAAAAGATCTCAGAAGCTCCTTCCAGTTTTTAAGTTCTGAGGAAAACTGGAACTATATTAAAAATGGTTGTGTGCATGTTTTATAATAACCTTAGTTAGCTGTCTTGTGAAGTCCTGAGCACTTGTATTTTGTCAGGATAGTCTTTGTGTATTTTTTTAAAAAATGTGTTTTATTTGACCTCTAAATTTGTTTAATGGTATTTGTGAAGTAAAATATACACTTTTCTTTTTAAAGATTTATTTATTTGTGCATACAGAACTGGGGTACAGGCCAGAGGCTCAGGAGTGGTGAGAGGCTTCACCAGAGACAGAGTGGGGAGCAGAACAGGCAGAATGTCGAGGTGCACTGCTGAGGGGAGCAGCGGGCGGGCCAGGAGAGGTCTGCCACGCCCTGTGGTCACCTCCGGGGCAGGGGGGGGATCGAATTCATGCAGAAGTGGCTTTAGCTTCTTAGTGCTGTGCTTTAACCCGCTGCGCCACCAGGGAGGGCCCAAAATATACACTTTTTTAAAGGCAAAATTTTTTAGAGTCCTAAAATGTTGCAATTAGAACTCTTCAGAAACATTACTTTGGCACCATCTACTGGATAGCTTTAATTTTTTTTTCTGCATATTAACTTTCATTGAGTTTCTTAATACTTTCCCAAAATGATTTTTTTTATTACAAAAGTTTATTTTTACATCATTTTATACATTTTTTTTTCCATCTCGATTGTAATCCCTGCGGGTTTCCCATCACCAAATCACCTGTGTGCCATCACCATAACCCCGTGCATTTCTCTCCCCCACCCCCTCGTTTTTGATCCCATTCCTCACTCCACCCCCTCAAAATGTCTCTGGTATATGGTTGTTCATTATTTTTGTTATTTTCTCGCCTGGTCCATTATACTCCTGCTATGAGTGAAACCATCGGGTATTTTTCTTTCTCTTTCTGGCTTATCTCACTAAGCATGATCTTTTCCAGCTCCATCCAAGTTGCTGCAAAAGACATGTGTTTCTCTTTTTTGGTTGCTGAGTAATATTCCATTGTATATATGTACCACATCTTTTTTATCCAGTTATCTACTTTTTTCCCAAAATGATTTTAAAGAAATATTACCAAATTAGCTACATTTGAATTTGGTACCATACCAGCTTATGCCAGTTAGAATTTAGCTGTAGATTTGCTACCACTCAACAGGTATAGAACTTGCCTGGATAGTTTCATTTCAGCACATATAAAGTAGACTGAACTTTATATGGAGGAGTTTGTTTCAGTTGGGTCTGACAATCACTGCTACCTGTTCTGTAACGACCTTAGCTGCCTTGTGAAGACCCCTGCCCTGCAAAGGCATTTTAGATATGTTTTCTGACTTGCATGCCAAGCAAACTTGTATTTGTTTAATGAGACTTCCCTTCTCTTCAGAACTCTGAGGCTAATCCTTTAAGTTATTTTCCACCAGCACTGATTCAGCTTTGTCACCTGCCAGGTGGGTGAGTTTTGGCACATTCTTTTAAACACTCTTGTGTACATTTTCAATCTATAAACTTAGAAGAATGATCTACTTTATCGGTCACTATGAGAATACAACGGCTAAGAAAGCCTGGCATTAAGTATTCCCAATACTCCCTAAGTGGCCATCATGGTTAGAGTCCCAGCTTTTCCTCTGGGAAGACCCATTCTGACCACCCCACAGCCTGGGATAAATTCTATGAAGAAAATTTCCCATGTTCCATCTATCCAAAGCAGGGTAGGTATGTTAATGAATTTAGCTGTAATCTAAAACAATCTTTGTCTTATTACCCTCATTGTGGCGTGTTTATCTTACCTGTTTATCTTAGAAAACCGAGAAAACATAGAAAACCCTGGTCCACTGTCCTCAATAATCTGTGGTTGAAGCCATGAGTTGTCCACCCAAATCCATTCTCTCCTTTCATGGGCAATAGGGCAGGCAAAGGCTCTTGACATTTCCCAGTTTAACTGGCAGTTTGCAGTAGCAAGATGTTTCTGCCAGTGGAATCTGCTGAGGAAGTGGCATGCACACTTTTAGATGTAGCCCCACAAAACTGACCATTCCTGAATCAACATCTCTCTACTGACAGGCTCTATGAGATGGTGGACGCGCAAGATGGAAATAAACTTGGGTCGATGCTCCCCTCTACACCTACCCTAGATTTGTCATATGGTCATGAAGCACACTTCTTGCCTTAACCTATTGAAATGTTGGTACATTTGACACCCTCCCACTGAACCTAAACACTGAGAGGTCCTAGTAGTATATTCCACTGGCCCTTTCTCCACTTTGTTTACACAGCTAAGATTCCACATACATGGTTTTGTGTCATTTGCTTGTAAGTATTTTTATTATAATTCATGATTTACTGGTTGCAGAGTATTCTATAAAATGTCGCTGGGTGAACCATAATTTCCGGAACTACGGTTGACGTTTCTAATTTTGTCTGTAAATAATGCTACCCTAAAGGCTTCTGTGTGGAAGTCTTTTTCTATATTTGGAATAATTTTTTAAACAACACACAAATGGTTATTGGGTTATGACGGTTATAAACATAGCTGAACTTCTTTTCCCAAAAAAACTGAATCCATGACATTACCATCAATGAGTTTGTGCTTATTTCAGACTACTAGAGCAAAAGGGTCTTGCAAATATTTATAAGTGTAAATATATGAATTTGATTTTTTTTTTTTTAAGATTTTATTATTGGTGCATACAGAAGGGGGGTACAGGCCAGAGGCTCAGGGGTGGCGAGAGGCTTCACAAGAGACAGAGTGGGGAGCAGAACAGGCAGATCGAGAGAGTACACTGCTGAGGGGAACAGCTGGCGGATCAGGAGAGGTCTGCCATGCCCTGTGGTCACCTCCGGGACAGGCAGGAATCAAACTCATGCGGAAGTGGCGTTAGCTTCTTAGTGCTGTGCTTTAACCCGCTGCACCACCAGGGAGGGCCTGAATTTGATTTTTAAACATTCCCTTCCACTTTGTGTTTCTGTGGTTACTACGGGGGTTGAACACTCTTCCATACCGACTAATTAGATGTACCTCTTCTGAACCTTATGTCCTATAATCCAATGGAGTCTATATTTCCTATACATTAATAACTTAGTGGATATTACCAACAGCCAGTCATCCAAAATTCCATAAGGTATTTTATTAAGTCAGAACAAATATTAAGGCACAAAAATACATTAATTTTTTCAAACAAAAGTACTTCAAATAGTTCTGTCTTACATTCAAAACAATTTCTTTCAAATTATACAATAATTTAACCTTTTAAAATAGAAAAATATAATTTCTTATACCCCTAAACTTTCTCCCCAGATAAACGTTCCCCTAGTCCTAAAGACCTTGTTTAATGCAGTAGTGAGCCTTGCATTATAATATACATCTCCTTAAAAATCTAGCTTAGTCACATGTATATTTGATATGTTTAGAACTTTAACCAATGTTAAACTTCTTGTAAGTGTAAGGCTTGGTGTTCTGTATTGCTTATTGCATGCTGTTGATCAAAGATAGAAGTAGTACCCAGAGAAGTGACATATAAATTTAGTATAACATATCTCAACTTAAACCCAGTCATGTATGGCCTAATTTAAAGATTCAAACCCCATTAAAAAAAAAGGAATTAACATTTTTATATTTTCAATTTTGACATTACAGTAGTGCAAACAATATACAGCAATTTTATACTGTATTAAGGGAGAAAGTCAGTATTTTCTATGAAATATGAAAGACATTAGTAATTTCTTCTACAAGGAAGGGATTATCTTACCTCTTTAGCTTAAAAAGTTCACATATTTAGATAGTTTAACACTAACTCAGACCATGACAATTTTCTTTTAAGTAAATTTCACATATCATATAAATCTGTTGTATAAGAACACTTAACCTTTTTTGTCTAGAAACATGTACAATCTGGAGTCATCCTCAGATTCCTTCATTAATAGGGACACCCATCTTGATGACATAGTAAGAATAAATGAATCTGATAGCTTCAAAGACCTTGATGGTCTTTCTGGAAACTTCATGCAGAAGCAGGGTATAACTTCTCTCCAGTGTCTTCACATGAACTACATCTGTGGCTCCAGGGTTTAATAAATGAAGGTCCTTCACAGGAATATTCCATTAGGGTCACGAGACAGCAACAGACTACACAATTATTATTAAAAGTGACAGACACAGTACATGTCCTTTGAGAAACAGTATTTCTATCAAAGCTATGAGGAGGGCATTCTGCTTTCTCTAACTGATCAGAAAAGTTTGCATTTCAACCTGTAGCTGAGCCTTGTAGAAGTGTCATTTCTCTTCCCAGCTGCAGAAATTGTGTTTTTTTATAATATTAAGGAGAGTATGTCAGAAGCCGTGGCCTTTATCATCACACCTACCATCAAATATCTACCCCCATGTCACTAAATATACAACTCCTGCTAGCTGGAAGCTCAGGAGTCTGCATTTTAAAATTCAATTAGAATCATATGATGAGTCAGGTAAGGGAGGATGACTGACTCAGATTGAGGCATGCTACTAAACGAAAATGTTTGGAACAAGAAGCAGTGGTTACCTCCATTCTGAAACAACTGGGCAGAGGGTGGAGGACATAAATGCTGGGACAATGCAGTGGGTGGGGGGGACCCCATCACTGTGGCAGAAATGTAAATAAGGAACAGAGTCCATACTAATAACTTAGAAGTCCTCCAGGACTGATATTGTAGAGGAGTGACAGCTTGAAACCCATGCCTTTTTCAGCAATGTTTGATACCATTAGGATTTTACTAGAGGAAATTAATTTTGAAAATATTCAAGGATATTATTACTTGAAATAAATTTTTACTAACTTCTAGAACATGAGAAAATAAGAAATGAAAAAGTAGGATTTCAAAGAAAATTTTGTTTTGTAGCTTCATACACAAAAAGGTTCTATTTGTTTGTTAAATGTTAGGACATTAATGCTTCTTAAATAACAGTCCCTGAAGTCATTCTCAATGCACATGATTACAACTTTCCAAAGAAAGACCTACAAGATTCTAATTTTAATTCCTATTCTAAATGTCCACTACCCCTGAATCTTTGGTCATGAAAGTAGGAAAACATCACATTTCTACATTCAAATGCCTTTTAAGTTTAGAACACTCTGCATTTCAAAAAAAAAAAAAAAACTTCAAATTACACATTTACACATTACATATAAATGTAACAAAATATTGTATAAACATGGTTGAAAGTTAACAAATCAAAATATTAATAGTGATGTGCTGTGCAAATGTTTCATTACAAACCCAAATTATGTCAAGATTACACCAAAGGTAAGTTCTAAGTTTCCTAAAGCTCACTGGTCATGATTCATCCAGTCTGCGGGGGAAGAAGTGCTCGGGGAGCCCCATGGCGGGTGCCCACCGCTTGCCCAGGGCAGACTCGGCAGCACATGCACACACAGGCCGAGCCGGCGTGAGTGGCAGAGCTCTGGAATGGCCCCCGCGCCCTCGCTCTGTGGATAGTTGTGTCTCCAGAGCTCCTACTTCCATGATTTGATGTGCATGGTGGCATTTGCAAACAAGGGCTTTGTGGGAATGTGTGTGCATGCACACACAGGTGCACACACGGCACAACTAATCACATAACCACCCTCATTTTCCAGTGGCAGCCAACTTTTTCTTATTAAGTCCCTTCAGTACAACAGTCAAAGAAAACTATTACTGTGTCTAGTAACTATAAATCCAAGACACGGAGACAATGCCTTTTCATATTTAGGAGAATCACATCAACTAGCTCAAAGGTTAGCAAAATGGCTGCATTTACGTAAAAAAAGCTTTTAAACCTGGAGCTGTCCAGTTTTCCAGAAAAAGAGAGAACCCAAATCCACACACTTGCCATCCATCAGGTAAGGGATGATGGAAATGTATGTTTATCCTAATACTTGTCTCTGATTATTTCCAAGTCCAGACAGGAGTCAGTTTATGAAGGGTTGCTAGGCCTCCCCACCACCTGGATATTTAATTTAATATATACATTTCTAAGATGATGCAATAAAAACTTTTTGTACTATATTAAAACAAAGCTCTCTTAGAGTCTTAAGTGAGTTCTTCACCATTAGCTAGTTTCAGATATATTCGTCCCAATCACATTATTTTTTCTGAAGAGAACATTTTTTCTGCCATTTCAGATCTGGTCATGATTTCCTAAAAAAACAGAAAAAAAAATGCATCAAAATGTCAAGACCATCAAGAATCTAAAAAAATTCTCTAATCTTTCCTTGGCCACAACTTTGTAGAGGGCTAGAATTTATTCCACAATATACGTAGAGTATTAGGTAGAAATAAAAACCATAACCCACATTTGCTAGTAACACAATTATTTGCTGAGAGGTTCAGAAAACTTCAGTGTTTTGCTAGCTAGAAAATATTGCAAGTTCATAAGCAATAGTATGAGGCAACAGGCAAAGTGGGTTTCTTAGGTATAACTCACCTAGGAAATTATCTCAACTTACGCAATTAATGTATATTTGAAATTATACACCAGTGATCAAAGGCCCTTTTAAATGCCCTTTTAAAGTAATTCCATGGGATATCTTTTGTAGATGTAGAATTGCAGCTGTTTTGTAGCAAGGTACGTGAATACTGCAGCCTTCTCAAAACTCCTCATTCCACACACAAATCAGTGTGTTGGTATCAGTTGTTTTCCCTTACCTTTCAATGAATAGAGCTATAGCTTCTCTCATACTCCACAACTACATAAACAACTCCTTTTTCTTCAGTTCTTACACTTTTTATTTCTTCCTGTCTTGGGCTATCTACTCAATGTCCATTTAATCTATTATTAAATTCCCCCTCCTAAACTTTTCTAAATCTACACTCTCTATTCAATAGTTTCTACTTAGTAAGTGAAAATGAGACAGAAATTCTTATTTAATATCCCAGCAAAATATCTACAAGTATAAAAAACTAATATAGAAAAAATTCATATGAAGATATTCTAAATTCTTACTTATAAACAAGGTATCAAAAAATTCAGACTCAAAATCTCATAAAGGAATCTGTCTCCTCTTTTACAACCAACAATCATTTAATTTGTTCCTGTTGAAAGTTCCTTAACTTGAGCCCTCCCTGGTGGCACAACAGGTTAAAGCACTGTATTATGAAGCTCTCTGAAGCCACTGCAGCATGAGTTCAATCCCCAGCTAGGGAACTGACCCACATGGCGTGGTAGACCTCTCCTGATCTGCCCACTGCTCCCTGCAGCAGTGTACTTTGTCAATCAGCCTGTTCTGCTCCCCACTCTGTCTCTGGTGAATCCTCTCACCCACCACACCTCTATCTGGCACCCCAGTTCTGTAAGCATAACTAAATAAATCTTTAAAATAAAAATAGTTCCTTAACTTTATCAACAAATCAAGATATCTTTCAGCCTGTTCAATTTGTAATCATGTCAAAATAACTTTCAGAAAGCCTTTCTGAAATATATTTTTTACTTTGTGAAAATAATAGCTCCAAAGAAATAAACAAAATGTATTTACCTCATCTGAATCCACTAATACTGGAAGAGCACTGAAACAAAATAAAAAAACAAAACAGTTAAATTGAAAAGAGGTATATCCCAACAATTCTTCCTTCTGGACAGACAACAAAAATGAATACTAAGGTTTAGCAACAAAAATGAAGAATTTATGCCAATGTTGTTCTTAATAGTCCACAAACTGAAAATAACCCAAACTGGTAAACTGTGATTTACTCATACAATGAAACACTATACAGTAAAGAAAATGAGTGAACGATTGAGGGATACGGTTTTTTAACCTGATATAAGTCATGTTCAGTAACAGGTTTTAGGACAGTAGTACCTTTGGGATGTGGGGTAGTGATTTCAAAGGAAAATGAGGGTGCTCTAATGATAACCTATTTTTTACCTAGGTGCGAGGTACCTAAGTGTACTCATATTAAAAATTTATTTAACTGTACACTTAGAATTTGTGCACTTTTCATAATGTGTGTTATACCTCCAAAAATGTCAGCTAAAAATTAAGAGAAGAAAGAAATAACTTTGAAATAGAAACAATAACAAAGATCGGCAAGTCCACAGACAAATATGTTGGAGAAATATCAATGATTAAAGCATATAAATGAATAATTCCAATCATAACTGAAATCTAACTACATATTTACGTAAGCCGATTATTTCTAATTTTGACTAGCTGGATATGTATTTGAGTGGTGGTGTGCTATCTCATTTGAAAATCCACGTTTTCTGGACAGACAACAAAACATGATACCAATGTTGTTCTTAATAGTCTACAAACTGAAAACAACCCAAATTGGTAAACTGTGATTTACTCATACAATGAAACACTATACAGTAAAGAAATTTCCACCTATCTGACTGTTTTCTGCTTCTGCTGTGGGAACAGTTACCTGGTATTCTTGTGTCAAACACAACATAGATCAAGAGGCACTGAGTAGCTCAGAGCTCCCAGAGGCCTTCTTCTGCACTCTATTTTCCTGTGCCTGGGTTTTTCTCTAATACTTCTATACCATACATGGCATTGTGGTACTTTCAAAAAAAGTTTTATATGTTTGCACTTTTCCATAATAGACAGCTGAAAGAAAACAACATTATTTTGATGCTGATCACCTTAGGTCAGAATTTTAAAAGGAAGGCAAGAGACTAAGGCAGTGTTGCGGTTCCATCTGAAATGAATCAGCCATTCACTAATGATGGATCACACCATGTGGGGTTTGCAAAACACATGACAAAGAGTAAAAAGGATCCCTTTATGCTACAGCCTAAATAAATTCTAGACTAAAACTTTAACAGAGGATATTTACACATCTGTGAATGAAGAGGGAATATTTTCTTCTACCCACTTCAAATCTTCATCCTGTAGAAATAAAGTTACACATAATTTATGTTACTACACAAAAGCAAAATTTTAAAACAGAATGCATAAAAATTTAAATATGTAAATTCAAATGCACGACCTTCTTTTCTTTTAACTTCTACATATGTCCTATGTAGGCATGTGAAATTAGAAGCTGGCACTTATACCTTACAGAAATTATGCCAACATTTCCTTAGAGAGTTAAAGAAAAATATGGATGCTAAATAGTTGTACATATTGGTTTTAGTTAGATTCATAGGTATGATTTTTTATGCTGAAAAAAAAAAACCACAGTAAAGATCAAAGAATTGATTTATAAAATAGAAAAATCACAGGAATACTAACTTGTACTGAATTTTTGCTCCTAGAATTTATTATACCTCCTACTTGTTCAAGTTTTTAAATCATGTGTTTATTGTTTTGTCAATATAAAAATGATGGTACAAATATCTAACTTAATAAATGTGCTTTTTATTCACTCATTCTCATTTCTCTGTAGGAGATAAAAATAGGAAAGCAAGTCAGCTGGGTTATCTAAAATTTTTAAAATAAACTTGTTTACAGTTATCTCACTCTGAAAAAGAATAATAAATGGTATATGGATTTTAGGCTTATAACACAATTTTTTTTTTGTCTATCTGGCTATCTGGAATACTCTGGTTCTAGTATTAATTACATCTTGCTTTCCTAGAGTGAGACAGAGCAACTGAACCAGAATTAATAATTCTATATAGGAATCTCAAGTAGAAATAAGTCATGACAGATCAGGTCTCAAGGTCTCAAAATCTGATCACTCAGAGAAATGAAAAAATAGTCCCCTAATGTATTTATAAATACTGAGTTTTAAAGCAACTGAGATATATCCCTAAATTAAGAGGAAAATACTTTAACAAATTGAAAAATTTAATACCTCTAATACAATTATAACTGTTGTATTATTTTAAAGTTTAGTTAAAATTAACACAAAGCTATTTGGGGGACATTTTTAAAAGAATTACTACCTTGCCAAAATAAAAATTATTTCCTAGCAGTTTTATAGATAAAAACTATTCATATATATACTGATATGTCCTGGCAGAACTTAAACGCATACATAATTTTTTGCACAGTATTAATCATAACAAATATAAACTGTTAAGAAAGTTGAAAATAACTATGATAGGAAGTTCCATTTTGCTTACTTTCATAATTATCACTTTTATATACACAAAATATGCAAATAGGGCCCTCCCTGGTGGCACCACAGGTTCAAGCGCAGCGTTATGAAGCCATCTACAGCTACTGCAGCATGAGTTTGATCCTCCGCCAGGGAGGTGACCCACATGGTAGAGCAGACCTCTCCTGTCTCACCCACTGCTCCCCTCAGCAGCGTACTTCAGGCACTCCACCTGTTCTGCTCCCCACTCTGTCTCTGGTGAATCCTATCACCCCCTGTACCTCTGGCCTGTACCCCTTGTATGTATAAATCTTTTTTAAAAATGTATGCAATTTTAAAAACTAATCTATACCCTACATTTTATTATTTTACTCAAACTTCTATAGTTTACATTAAATCCATTTCCCAACAGGTACCAAATGTTATCTGAGAAACGTTCAAAAATCACTTTAACATGGTAACATGAGCTTTTAATATACTAAAGCTTCTCAGTTTTTAATGTATATATGAATCACCATGAGATGAGGCTAAAAGACAGATTCAGATTTATCAATGAGCCTGGGGCAGGCCTGAGATTCTGCATTTCTAACACATTTTTAGGTGATGTTCCTGCTGTCATTCCAGGAACATCATGTGAGAAGCAGTTACAGGAATCAGACTTAACTAGTATCATGGCTTGTAACATTTATTTTCATACAAAACAACTTCAGTAAAAAGTGTCCTTTGAATGTCAGTAGATGTGACACTCATGTAGATTTCTAAAATATTAAAAGTCTGTCATTCTATTAAATATATATATCATACTCACAAAATTATCAGTAGTAGGTTTAGCAGTTCCATTGGCAGCCGTCTTTGAGACTCTTAATTTTATCCCTTCAGCTATAATGAGAAATACTTTAGATACAGATGAAATTGTAAAATCAGAATACTTTCCTCTATACTGTCCTCTATACTCGTAGATAAAAGCATTAAGTGATTTTTAAAAGAGAATTACTAGTGGGACTTTGAACAAGTGCTGGCTTTGATATACCATTTGGAGATGTAGGTGGGGTAGGAAAAGTTAATGGATTTCACAATTATTTGCAACAACCACCCAGCTTTCAATTTGCTAGGTTGAATTCTAGTTTTAGAGAAGTTTAACAAGTAAGCATGTAACAAAACAAACATTCCTAAGTATATACATATTTCCTTAGAAAGTGTCAGCACATTTTTAAGTTTATGAATTAAAAATTTCTACAGGATTTCTATTATCATTTTTATAAATAAAAAAAACTATCTTTGGTTATGCTTTAACTTCTCTGATGTATAAAATAGGGAAAAAGATTCTTTTCACATTTGACCAAGACCCTTTTTTATGTTGCAGTCTGAGTAGAGCAAAGGCGAAGCGCATGAGACCTGGAATCAGACAGCCGCACCTAGAATTCTGGTCTACAATGACTACTTTTTTTTGTTTGTTTGTTTGTTTAAGATTTATTTATTCATACAGAACTGGGGTACAGGCCAGAGGCACAGGGGCGGTGAGAGGCTTCGCCAGAGACAGAGTGGGGAGCAGAACAGGCAGATCGACGAGGTACACTGTTGAGGGGAGCAGCAGGCAGGTCAGGAGAGGTCTGCCGCGCCATGTGGGTCAGCTCCCAGGCCGGGGATGGAAATTGCACTGAAGCAGCTGCCGCCAGCTTGCAGTGCTGTGTCCTAACCGTTACAACGCACCACCAGGGAGGTCTACAATGGCTACTTTTAAAGTGTTCAGTTTGGTGGATTTTAGACCAGTTAAGAAATTATGCAATCACTACCACTAATTTCAGAAGATTTTTATCAACTCCCCCAAACAAAAACCTCATCCATACCAATTAGCAGCTCCCCCAACGTTCCTCTAGCCCCTGGCAGCCTTCTAGTATATTTTTTTCTATAGATTCATTTGTTCTAAGCCTTTCATGTGATGCATATATGTATGGAATCATACACTATCTTTTGCAACTGACTTCTTTTACTTAGCATGTTTAAGATTCATTCATGTTGTAGTTCTAAGAATGTATAAGTTCTCCTACATCTTTCGCTTTCCTATATAATTTTAAATCAATTTAAGCATTTGTACTTTTTAAAAGTCAACCTGGATTCTGATTGGGGTTGTACTAAATCATCATCAGCTTGGGGAACTGATGAATTAATAATGTTAGGAGTATTATAAACATGCTTTATCTCTACATGTACTTACTCTAAAATTTCCCTTTGTGTTGTTTCAGTCTTCAATGCAGAAGTTTAGCATACTTTTTTCACGAATTTTATTTCTAATTATTTTTGAAGCCATTGTTAATACTTAGATTTTATTTGCTTTCAACGACTATATAGAAAAACACTACTTTCTATGTACTAGACATATGTCCTATGACTTAATGGTTTAGTTCTACCTGTATATTTTCCTTATTTGTAAACTCCCTAAGATTTACATAACCTTGATGTCTACAAATATCTATGGGTTTTTCTCTGGTTTCACCCCAAGTCTATTAATTTATCATTGCATACCGGACACTGAGGATAATATCACACAAATTTGGGATTATCTAACCTTCCTCTGGGGAGTGTTGTGTGCTGTTTAGCAGAATTCAGTTTACAGCTCAATCACTTCAAGTTTAAGGCTGAGGGCTAAGGGAAGGGACAGTCTATGGCTTTAGATTTTACTAGGATGGGTTTACTTCTATTTAAAAAATGTTTGGATGAACTTCAGTGGGCCTATATTTGGTCTTTATTTCTAAGGAGTGTCCCTTCTGGGGCAAGCCTACGGTATTTACCCAAGTGTTTTTGAACTTGTTGAAATTTGAATTAAACTCAGCAGTGGACAGATGCTGAGATTTCAGTTCTGTTTTTTAGCCAAAATGCTGCTGGTTTTTCCCTGGGATTTCTGATGTTTCACTTTACATGTGCTCTGTTCAGGCAAGCGATAAGACTTAAGAAACTAGAGATTCTGGAATTTCCACCTTTGTGGTTCTCTCATTTCTGACTTTTCATTTCCAGGCATTCTTACAGTCCTAAATTTCACTCAACAATTCTTTGCATCTGTGTAACTGAGCTGTACCCATTATGCTGTCACACTGACTGGGCAGAAGCTCTATAAATGGGGAACTTATTATGAGCATGGCTCTCTTTTTTCAACAGTCAAATTTCTAATTTCTGCCGGCTTTTTACTGTTCCAAGTGCCTTTAAGCAGTTTATTTTAAAAAATACTTAGTCCAGAGCTTATACTAGTCACTAGCAGGAAGATTATAGTCTAGTAAATTCATTCTTTAATACCTTTGTGTGAATAAGTTTTTCATGTTTTCTTTCTTAATAAGGAAATCAGAAAAACACAAAAGAATTAGTTGTAGGTAAGCAAAGATAAGAGTGCCTCCCTGTGGCACAATGAGTTAAAGTGCAGCACTATGAAGCTAGGAGTAAAGGAGGTGACCTACATGGTGCAGCAGACCTTTCCTGTCCCACCCACCGTTCCCTAATCAGTGGATTTCAGTAAATCTGCCTGTTTTGTATCCCAGTTCTTGTATGCATAAATAAATAAAATCTTTAAAAAAGAAAAAAGAAAATTGAAAATAGTACTAAAATCATAGTTAGAAATGCTTTGGCTCTGACTAGGAAATTACATATGTACAAACAATTTAAAAAGAATAAAGAGAGATTATTCAAAGAAACTTAGTAATCATCATTAAGAAGATGAGTCTTATTCAAGAAAGTGTTCCTACTTCATTACTTGGACTTTAAGACCAAACAAGTAGCAAAAGTTTAAACTATGCTGGCAACCTTGAGAGTTTTCCTATTAACTTTTATTTTTGTGACTGTCTACCAAGATGGAATTTTCTTCAGATATTGTCTAAAAATATTTTATAGGAAAAAAAATTTGCATGGACTTGTACTGCAAGTACAATATTCCTATTACAACAATACAATGATCATTAAAAAGAAAACATATTACTTACTCAGATTTTCAGATGTTACCCTGAATTCTTCAATTTCATCATCAGAATCATCTATTAAGGGTAGGAAGGCATACCTATATCAAAACCAAGGAACAGTTTTAGTTTTACTAGCATTTTTAAACCTATTCAATCTTCAGCTAATATCTAAGATTCAATGCATACAAAAATACCTGCATTTTAGAAGTTGCTTATAAGTTAAAACACTAGGGCCCTCCCTACTGGCACAACAGGTTAAAGTGCAGCACTGCAAAGCTAGCCACAGCTGCTTTAGCACCAGTTCTATCCTGGGCCAGGGAGGTGCTCTACATGGTGCGACAGACCTCTTCTGACCCATCCGCTGTACACACCCTCTCGGCAGTGTACTTCGTCAGTCTGTCCTGCTCCCCACTCTGTCTCTGGTGAATCCTTTCACTGCCCTTACACCTCTGGCCTATGCCCCAGTTCTACATGAATAAATAAATAAATCTTTAATAAAAAATTTAATTAGGAAAGATTATTGTGAAAAAACAAACTAGAGCTCTCTGACCCTACTGGTAAAAACACAGATGAATAAACTCTTTCTAGAAAGCAACTTCGAAATATATAATGTTCTCAGGGAAGGGAACCTTCCACTGTACTTTTCTTCCTATGTCACATTTATCTCTATTACTTATTAGTCTATCCCCTAATGAGAGAAAAGCTTCCAGTCACTAATCTGATTGGTGAAAATAAAGCACATTGATTGAGTCTCATTTACTAGTCCAACAGTATTCAAATAGCACTACTAGTGATAAAAGCAAAAACCTAGAAACAAATGTCCGAAAACTAAGGGCTATTTATAAAAGTCACACTGTATACACCCTATTGCCATTAAAACTAATTGGCGGGGGCCCTCCCTAGTGGTGCAGTGGGTTAAAGCACAGCACTAAGAAGCTAAAGCCACTTCCACATGAGTTCGATCCCCACCTGCCCTGAAGGTGACCACATGGTGTGGCAGACCTCTCCTGACCTGCCCGCTGCTCCCCTCAGCAGTGTACTTCGTCAGTCTGCCTGTTCTGCTCCCCACTCTGTCCCTGGTGAATCCTCTCACCCTCTGCATCTCTGGCCTGCACCCCAGTTCTGTATGAATAAATAAATCTTAAAAAAAAAAAAACTAATTGGCAGATCTATAATTTTATGCAGAAGAAAAAGTAGATGCATAACAACATATACATTTAAGTATGTATGCATTTATTAATTATATATAATTTTAAAATAACACACACACACACACACAATGGTATAAGCTAACTTTTCCAATAACTATGTATAAGAAACTTAACAGCACTTTCCTTCAGGGAGGGGAACAGGCATGGAATCTAAAGCACTATTCTTTAAACTTCACTTTCAGGATCTCCAGGATTTTGGTCTTACCCTTTCTTTCCAGCTTTATCTCCCTCCAATGGAGGTCACATTAAGCAAACCACATGCCTCAATGATCTCCAAAGTATACAATGTCTTTTCCTACTATTTTATAAAATGCACATTCTTTCCAGTCCTGCTCTTCTCCTCAAGGCATAACATAAAAGTTGCCTTTTCATGGAGTCTTCAACATCCCTCTTCCATCTTTCCCCAGAACTTAGTTTATATTATATATCTCTTCTTTCACTTTGTTTACTCACTTTGCTTATCTGTGTACTCCTTAAAAAAACAAGGACTAGTTCCCCTGTCTCTAGAAATGCATTTAACACTGTAGCAGGTAATTGACAAATGTTTGCCAGCTTGAATTTTCCTATGAGGTACCTCTGATTATTTGCTGATGGTCTCCACAAAAACATTATTACAATAAGGATAAGCGAAAAAAGAAAGCTCCAAAATGCTTCATCAACCCAGTGTTCCATCCAATCCTATAATCAGGACAATTCAACATGAAGTTAATTTTCTAATAAACATACAGCTCTTCATTCAGATAGTATACATTATAAGTATTAATATGATCTTTCTAATCATTAAGTCTTCCAAATAAATAAGTACAATTTTTTTAAAGGAACATAAACACCAGGAATTATTTTTACAAAATCAATATTAATTGTTAACTTTATCCTTATTACCAAACAGGTGAATAAAATAATAAAATCCTAACATAAGTTATATAGTACCACAAAGAGAATTAAGAGTTTAAAGGGGTTTCAGAGGCTGCTATTTTCGAAACAAAAACAGTCATAAGGCAGGTTAATAGCAGAATTACAATCAGATTGACAATGGGTTTTTTTTTTTTATATTGATGACACTATAATCTCTGGTCCATCCTGGAAACATGTTAGACGTAGGTCTCATGGTACCATATGCATAACCCAGTTTCATGGTATAAAGCAAAAAAAAAAAAAAAAAAAAATTCTTGTTATTTTAAATGATATAGGGAAGAGGATTCTTTTTCAAAGTATATAAAAAATGAGAAAAGTAGATATAGGATGAAATACTTCAGATTCACTTAAAGGAACTTACACAAAGGAAATGAAAGTAAAGAGAAAATCCCCACTAAAATTATCTATTTATAAACACAAACTAAATTCTTCAAAATTACACTTAAAGTAAAATTGAAAATAAAATTACAAAAAAAAAAAAAGATAGGTTATACTTACTGATTGACATTTTGCAATTCTAAATGTCTTGGTTGTCCACACCATAAAGATTACAGAAGCTGAAAAACACCAAAAAAGTCAACTTTTGAAGGGACATACACGATACTAAAATAATTCATTTTAATAAGAAAACTAAATAGCTTACCCAGTACAGCAAAGATCAGAGTATTTGTAAAGTGCCTGTATAAAGAAAATTTCACTGTGTTCTTTCTTAGCCTTAGAGTCTTCATAGTTTGTGCCAAACTTATGAAAATGTGAAGGAAGTTAAGGAAAAGCATTTTACATAGTAAAAAATAGTTAAGCTAAAAAATAAGACTTTTACTACATTTCCAAAACTGGAACTGTATAATTACAAGTAAAATACCCAGAAAATGTTATCTTAGTCAACATTATACAATCATGATACTAATTTTATCACAGATTTTGCTTTACAATTTATTATCATCTGAGCTAAATAAACTAAAACCCTCTCCTTAGGCCACTTTTTACATGTTCTGATGTGCCACTTGGCTTATGCTTTCTGTTTTTGTGTATTTAAAATTCATCATCTAAACACTGTAATTAATAAGTCAGGTCATTTATCAATTTCATTTTATAAATTGAAAAAAAAATATGTCAAATATTCAGGTAGAGGGAGACTTTAATCAAAAGATTATTGTCATAGGAGGGAGGTTACTGTGGTAGAACGTTTAGACTAAAAGATCTCCAAGCATCTCAAAGGTCAGGAGATAAGGTCTTACCTCTCCAGAGAGGGGTAAGCAAGACTAGAAAGCAGGTGTGGGGAAGTGGGTAGTGTGACTGGACAGTTTTCAGGGAAAGACATTATTTTTGAGGTGTGCAGATTCTCAGACGGGGCCAATAAAGAACTATGGGTGGACGAAGCTCAGGGACTTGGGGGAACAAAAATACTTAAGTTTTGTCCAGCCCGGTATTTTGTCCAGATTGGTCAGTAAGTAGACAGATCTGGGTCTAGCCTAGTCATAGGTAAACATGGGGCATTTGGGAGTCTTATTCTGTGTCCTATGGGGAAATGGAGTTCTTCGTAGGAAGGCTTTTCTTGGAATACAAAAGGATTAGGTTTTTCTTAACCTTATAGCAGTTTTCCAGGAACACCGGGCTCAGGTAAAGTTCAACACTGTCAAGTAAGCTTTTATACCAGCATAAAGCTTCTCTTCCAGTTTTGGATCTATTCATTTTTATTCATCCTCTCTACATATGCTTCATGGACATCTACTGTGCGCCAGACAGTGGAGACCTGGAGGTGAACAAGACCAGCAGGCTTCCTCCTCCTCCCTCCAATGAGAAAGGCAGATCCTCATATACTGCAGCACCCTAAGTAAACACTACCCAGGGGAATGAGCACTGGGTGCAAATCTTCTCTGGGTTCATGAAGGTCCCTCAGAAGTGACATCTAAGCTGGGCCTTCAGAGGGGCTTATTTAAGGTCTAGGAATGGTTTTCAGAGACTCCACTAGCTATGAACAATTTTTTATCCTACAGAAATGTAGCCTTCTCGTCTCCTAGACTTGTAGGCTTGTAAATATCCACAGATAATCTAAATTTTTTTCTTTTTTGACCGATAACAGCAATGTATTTACTCAAGGACTCAGTGACATGCTGCAAATTAATGGCAAACACAGGCTGGAGCACAAGTCTCCAGAGCCAATTCAGTGCTACCATGGCTGAGAGGCCTGGCCTATTTCTGTAGCTCTGAAAGGCTCCTGCTCCTGGGGTCTAGTCTTCTATTACTTCTTCCTGGAGAGAGAGTATACCTCTGAATTTGACTTCCAAATACTTCTTGAATCAAAAGCTTACTTTAGTGTTAAAACTACCCAAACTGCTTTTCAAGCTTTCTAAATGACCCATAAGTTGCAAAAGACTGAATTTCTCAAATAAGTTCAACCAATTTAAGTCAACTGTCAGAATTTATAAAAATGCAAATATGCTTTATTCATTAAAGATTATCAAGTCAAATACTTTTAAAACATTCTGGATTAAAATCAACTGTCTCTATTAAAAAACTGGCTTCATTTAATAATTCAAGTATTTAGGTCAAACTGCTGAAGCCTCCACTTACCAAGATGCTGTTAAATTTAGTTAAGAGTTAAATTGTTTCTCCCATTAAAAGAAAGTTGTAATAAAAGCAAGCAGGCCCCATCACCTAAGTGAGAAAGTGACCGTACTGCTGTGGCAGAAAGGATATCCACCAGCACAAGCCAGAGTCAAGGAGAGAGAGGGGGAGGCTGGCCAGAAGCACAAGATCAGAATCATTTGCCTGCAGCAAAACAGCAAACATAAAACAAACAAGCAGAAAAAAGAGAGAGGAGAGAAAGGCTATATAGCTTTTGAATTTGGGGGTGGGGGGGGAGGACTATATCTTCTACTACTTTAGAATTAGATTCCCACAGGTTCATTGGCTATATTAAGTTCATCGAAATTAAAGGAAGCAAGGTCACCATCACAAGCACTCAGTTCTGAATGTAGCCCTGCTTCTTCTGCATATAATTTGTAATCATTCAGGGAACTCTCTTCCTTTTTTGTACAGAAAAGCACACTGTTTATTTCAGTAAAGAAAATTCCCAAACAGGAATCTAAAGGCAAACACCAGAACTTCATGTTCAAACAGAGATATTAAGGTTTCTCTCACCATGAAACAGCAATCAAAATCATTTTAATTCTAGATTTCTTTATGACTTTTATCTAAAACATCTTGAAAATATTGATAATTAAGAAAATTAAATCTATTGGCTAGTTTTTCTTATCTTTACACCCAATCTGGCTGATTATATGTTGGAGCCATAAAGGAGATAAATGACTCTAGTTCAAATCCAGAGGGAGTTAGAAGATTTACAGCCACTTTCCTGTGGGATTTTCAACGAAGTTGTGTTACTGAGTAATTTTCCCAAAGAACTACTTTGTAAATGATTAAAAACAAGTTACCTTTGAAACATACATATACCAGTTACTACAAGAAAAGATAATACAAAGCTGTAAAACGCGCAGTCAACAGCTCAATGAACTGACTGAGGAATATACCTCCTGCTAAAGGCTCTCAGCATGTACAGTTTTAGAAATGAGGCAATTCCAAATTGACAGATATCTTTTTTCCCTTCAAATTGACAGACATCTTAAGATCATTTCTAAATGCACAATGACAGAAGAGAAGAAGTTCAGATCTTGAGGCAGCAACGCTGAGCCCAAGAGCCTGGTTCTTCGTCATGGCAATTCTGTACACGTCAGGTGCCCACACTGCTGGTCTGTGCACCACCCCCAACAAGGTAGGGACACGGCTCGGCAAAGGAGGAGGGGAGCGAAAGGGGCGGGGGAGAGCATGGGAGACTGAGGGAGACCGGGTGCTTCGGTGTGGGACAGCAACAGTGACCACACCTGAGGGGGAATCCTGCACTGTCAAAAAATGAACAAGGATGTACAATAATGGTGCTATTAAAAAATAATGGTGTGAGGTGTGTGTTACAATCTGTGAAGAAAAGCCCCATGGGTTTCATTAGATTTTCAAAGGCATTTCTGATGCCAGTACCCAAAAAAGGCTAAACAAAAATTCAGAGATTTCTTAAAATGTTTAAAAGAAAATCTGCCGGAAGACAGAGCAATGTCACTGCTAGGTATCTAACCAAAGAATGCAAAAAAATTAATTTGAAGGGATATATGCAGCTCAATGCTGGTTGCAGCACTATTTACAACAGCCAAACTGTGGAAACAATGTAAGTGTCCAAAGTCAGATGAGTGGATTAAGAAGATGTGGTTCTTGTATGCATAATAAATCTTTTTTTTTTCAAAGGTGTGATATGTATACACCATGGAATACCACTCAGCTATAGACAAAAAAGATAAACTCATGCTATATGCCACAACATGGGTGAAGTGGAGGGGATTATGCTAAGAGAAATAAGTCAGGAGGAGGAAGACAAGTACGGGATGGTGTCACTTACATATGGAATATAGAGAAACAAAACAAAGGGGCAGATGAACTAAACCAATAACAGACCCTAGTAACATAGATGCAACCAGAGAGAGAGAGTTCCCAGGCTGGGGTGGGCGGGCAGGTGCCTTATGGACTAGGGGAGCATCACTGGTGCCCTGGGCGTGGGTGTGGTAGGGAAACATACACCTGAAGGGTGTGATCCTATACTTCTAAATCATATGCTGGTTGTAACCAATGTTACTGCAATAAGAAAAAACAGTAAAAAGGCTTGATCTTGTGAATTTTGATCTTGAAAATTCACAAATAGGAAATTTAAAGAATAGGTAGGCCAGGCTGAGTCCACAAGGGACTAGCTACATTTGCTAGTCCACCTTCAGAAAGGAAGCGTTTCCTTATAGAAGGGACACAGGCAAATTTAAGGCCCTAGCCCTCCTATGACAACAAAGACAAGAAAATGGAAAGAAATATGAAGAAAACAAAAGACTGTCTCATGTTAAAAGGTATGTATCAAAGACAGTGGGGAAAGAAACCTTTGAAAAGATTTCAAAGAGGACATAAATGTAGAAGAAATGGATAAAGAATACTGAGATGTGCACAACCCTGCGAGTCTGAGGTAGTTTCTCTACAATTCCTCCCGTTTCCATGAATGCACATCAGAGCCTGCCATGTAGAAACAATGGAGTTTCCCAGAATGAACATGAGTCACAGTCACTAAGGTGGAGACTAAGATCAGTCAACACTAACTCTGCAACTTTATCCCATCGTGTCACTTGCTTTCCTGCTGTCCCACTGGGACCTCTGAAACGACCAAAAAGCCAGGTGTGCCACGGGAAGGCATCTCTCTGCAGTACTGATCACTGGTCACCACCCACCTTACCAAAGCTCTCCCAGTCTCCACCATCGCTCACTCTGGTGCTCCTTCCATACGCGTTTCCCACCGGACACCCTCATGGGCCTCTCTTACCTCTCTGGTCTGTCTATATGTGTTTCTGTGTTGCTTCCAAGGCTGCAACCTATGTCACATAAATACAACCTCCAAACTTCACCACCAGTGAAGGGGGCTCTGGGCAGCTCAAACTTCACCCACCATGGCCCCTTCTCCAAGTTCACGACCTTGGGAATGTTAATACTGCCCCTGGCCATCCAAATGAGATGTGCAAGACTTCTCTGGAGTCTCTTTTCCTTCTTTTGCCACCCATTTATTTCTAGCAAGTCTAGCATCTGAACTCCTTTCTCCATTTCCCTTGTTCTGTTTCTGAGCCTCAGCACCTCTCCTCCACTCCAAGTAACTTCGTGCTAGACTTCCTTTCTCTACACTCCTTTTCCCAGCCATCTTTCCATGTCATCCTTAAATTCTTTCAAACAAATTTCAGCATGCTATTCACCTACGCAATTCTGATTCCTCACTATTTTCTACCTCCCAAAGGGACTCGAAACTGTTAACATATCATTCTTTCCTTTCTGGCCGACCTTCTGTGGTTATCCCAATGCATTCAACACAGGCAAGCTATTTTGGGGCATTCCCCTACTGTTTTTATCTCTTCACACTTTCAACTATATTCTTCTCATTTCTTCCCAGAATGGCTTTTCCATAATTTTCTTCCTGTAAGTCCCTATTTGTCCTCCTACTTTAATTTTAGATGTCAACGTCTCTGTGAACTGTTTTCTGATTTTTATGCTAGAACTAATTTCTTCCACTGTTTGCATAACTCCTCTCAAAGTGGCTATTGCTTTCCTGCTCTTTGTTACACATATGCCTCTATTACAAGATAATAAACTTATTAAACGTGGGGACACTATGTCTTTCTTCCAGTCTCCTCTATAATGGAGCATATATTAAATATATTAAGGTTGCTGTTAACAGAAACAATAAAGGTATTGTTTTGGGAGTTGTTCACCTTCCACTAAGTTCTTATATTGAGGTAACAATAATGTGTAAATGTATATTATTATTACAAATTAAGAAAATCTGATTTTAAATATAATAAATATGTTAGGACATAGTAAAGGATATGAACCATACAAAAATGGAGTCAATGACTGCTAAAATAATGTCACCAAAAACAACAGCTAAGTGGTTAGAACCCTGAAAGATAAAAATAGGAAAAAAGAACAACCGAATGTCAAAGCTTCACTATATTACAGGAATTATCATCTGATTAAAAAAAACAATTTAGCTCAATCTCATCATTTCTTAGAAGTCACATCTAAGACTTTATTTGTTCATAGAACTAAGTTCAGACACTAGAAATTATGTGTTTGGGCGGCAACAAATCTTTAATGTAAACTATGTAATGGCATGGTGCTTGGGTCGGCCATTCAATCCCCGCCTTCTGTACCCAACACCACAGCCTGGGCTTCATTAGGAATGAACTGGACTCCTGAACTTTCCTATTGCATGTGAAAAGATGAACATACACACAAGTGAGTAAGAGCTGTGTGGGAGGACAGAAACAAACTGTGGATTAGACACTTATTTCAGTTAAGAGCTGACACAGAATCACATTTGAGCCAGCTATATCTAAGATACTGACTATGAAGTTTTATAGAGAAAGAATGTATATCTATATCTATATATGGGATATTCTTCGTTCTTTCTAACAAAGATTAGTTTCCTGTGAAATATCAATTTACCAATAATGTAAAGTTTTTTATTGTCAGGTAAAGGTAAAAGTAAATGTATGTTTCAAAGAGTTAAAGAGACAAAGAGAATAAGTGTGTCTAACTGAACAAAGGGTATCAAATATAACAGGAAGAAGGCTGAGGCTTTAGTGGACCAATACCCTGTTTGAAGGTTCTGACAAAAGTAGATCAATAATCTTTTCTAGCAAAACACAAGCTATTCCCTCTGTGCACAGTAATCTGATATAGACATTTTGGGTACAAATGACAAAGTTCTTTGAATCAAATAGAACATAAGCTTCTTAATCACTAGCCACCAATCATATCATTAAAATAAATGAAGAACTACAGTTATTAAGGGTCTTCACAGACCTAAATACCTATTTTGACCCTTTTCTGGAGGATAACGCACTATGGCCCATGCTGCCAGGTCATTTTTCCCTTAAAAATTACTTCTTCCTGGGCTTCCCTGTTGGCACAGGAGTTAAAGTTAGAGCTATCATGCTATTGCCAGCCACTGCAGCATGAGATCGATCCCCGGTCAGGGAGGTGACCCCACGGCACAGCAGACCTCTCTTGTCTCGTCCGCTGCTCCCGTCAGTAGTGCATTTCAGTCAATCCTCCTGTTCTGGTCCCCACTCTGCCTCTAGTGAATTCCCTCACTCCACCACCTCTGGCCTGCACCCAAGTTCTTGTATGCAAAGGTAAGTAAGTCTTTAAAACAAACAAACAAAAAAACTACCTCCTCTTTGTTTCCCAAGAGAGGGGCCTGCTGAGTTGCTAAAAATACTGATTCTGGGCCTCCCTGGTAGCACAATGGGTTAAAGCACAGCACTATGGAATTATAGCAGCCACTGCAGCACGAGTTTGATCCCCAGCCAGGTGACCCACATGGTGTGGCAGACCTCTCCTGTCCCACTCGCTGCTCCCCTCAGCAGTGTACTTCATTGATCTGCTTGTTCTGCTCCTCATTGTTGTCTCTGGTGAATCCTCTCACCCACCCCCGCACCTCTTATTTATTTATGCACACAGAACTGGGGTAACAGCCAGAGGTGCAGGGGCAGTGAGAGGATTCACCAGAAACAGAGTGGGGAGCAGAATGGGCCGACTGACAAGGTACACTGCTGAGAGAAGCAGTGGGCGGGGTCAGAAGAGGTCTGCCGCCATGTGAGTCACCTCCCAGGCAGAGAGTGAACTCATGCTGAAGTGGCTTTAGCTTCTTAGTGCTGTGCTTTAACCCGCTGCGCCACCAGGGAGGGCCCAAGAAATAAATCTTTAAAAATAAATACTGATTCTACAAGAGCTAGAGCAAACCTAGAGCAAATCTAGAATCAGGTGAGACTCATAGAAGTGATGACATCTAATGTCTGTATGTGTGAAAAGGGTGCAATACATGTTCACTTACATGTTTAAAATAAGGGCTAAGGGAGAAACAAATGTGCTGACTTTATGATGAACACAGATATTCTTTATAACTAGTTAACTATGAAGATTTTCCTGGGATGACAAGTGGTGTCTTCATCATCAAATATCGTTTTAAGAAAGGCTCTGTCTAGCCTTTTACCTATGAGAAGTATTTTTTAAAAGGGACATGTCCTATAGGAATAAAAGCTTGAATTTCAGCTTTTTCATAAATTTCCTATCTTTAAAAATTCACGAGATTGCGAGTAAAATCCCATTTCATCACCACTACAAAAAGAATGATGCAGTCTTTACCCCAACGACTCTCATCACGCCTTCAACAGCTGCAAAGATGAAGTAGAGCAGGCCCAGCCCAATCACCCGGTGCATGACTGTTCCCAACCGAGGCCTGCAGGGAGAGAGGAAAAGCGAAAAGCCAAGGCTGTTAAGTAAGGCTCATCTGCATTCAGTGAGGTGCCATTTCTAACGCGGAGTCATTAGCTCATCAGTCAGTTGGCTACTGCCTCTGGTGGTGCTGTTTAATTAGCACATAGTCTTCTCTCTGGGAACAGGGCACAAGAAGACTCAAAAAAAAAAAAAAAATGCAAAAAAAGCAGGTGTCCTTCTCTAGACAGCTAACTATACTGATGCCCACATAGCAGTATTTTGAGACCACAGAGGTGCTAGAGGATTCTGCTACTGAAATTCAAGTAATATAATAAACATAACCCAGGGACTATTTCTACAAAATAAAAGAGTAGATTGGTAAAACTTAAGAAGTGCCAACCTCCAAGTGTCTTAGTAGAAGTAATCATTTTACTTTTTCACTAAACATTATTAGCTAAAACACAGTAAGTTGTTTTGTTAGAAATAATCCTCTGGTTTTATGACTTGGTAGAGAAAGTACAGGATATTAAGATAAATTCAATTACCTTCTGTCTCTAAACACTCTAAATAAGAGGGCTAATACACTGAGTTTACATTGAAAATTAAAAAGAATCAAAATAACATTTAAGTCTTTAAAAATATAAATGAGATGGGAAAATGCAAAGATATTTTTTAATACTAATTCTGGTCATACGGGATCCACGGAGGGTTTTACTTCTGAAGGTGACGGCAGTGACAGCGTGCTGCTGGCAGTGATCCACCAGAGGGGAGGACTGATGATACAGGAGGGGAGAGGGCCAAGGACCTGGCCAGAGTCTTTGACAGATGAGATGTAGAACACAGGGCAGAGCAGGACTCAACCATGAGCAGGGATGGCCCCTGCTTTAAGAGGAAAACACCGCGGAGGGCCAAATATGGGGAGAACAACACAGGTGTGATGGCAGGAACACACTGGAATTCCCTCTGATGGCTATTTCCTCAGTGAGCAATGAAGCAAGATCAGAAATGGGTGTGGGTAGGGAGTCAGCAGTTTGAGGAAAGAGACGGGGTACAACTGTCCTGGACAGAGGGGGAGACTGAGAACATAAATTGGCAAGGGGATCTAAAACTGCTAGCATGGCTAAGACTGCATTTAAAGTTTAGGGTCATGAAGTGAAAGTCTGGGGAGAGTGGTTGGGTGTTCTCCTCAGGCAGGTCCTGCTGCTCCTGGTGAGCCTGGCACACACAGAAAGCTGGACGTACCAAGCGAGGCTGACACAGAGACAGGCAGGGGCTTCAGGTGTGTGCAAGAATGTCAGTGCCCTGCTGAACTGATGGTAGGCTCAAGAGACTACAGTACGGTCAGAGTGACTGAAACGGACAGAGTAGAGAACATAAACAGGAAACAGAAAGATGACAACTAAAACGGGGGTTGCTTAAAGATGAACAGGGCACAATTATGTAACAGTGGCTAGAAAACTGTCATGGGACTCAACAGCTGAGACCCAGTGAAGGGAAGGGCAGGTGGAGTTAGACTGGGTTATTTAAAGGGTCACCCACAGGGCATTCTGACAGATGAAGTACTGAGGACTGAAATGAGTGCTCAGAGCCAATGGACGAGGAGGTAAATTTCCAGTTGACGGGGGCCCCAGTAAGGTGCAGCAGATGATGCAGTCTGGAGGCCTGAGTGCTGGGAACCAGAGTCTCTTATGGAGAAGGAAGAATGGTGGTCTGAAAAGGCAGTAACGAGCTCTTCCATATTCACACCAGTGGCTCCCAGGCCCAAGAGAAAAGACGTGAGATGGTCTGCAAGCAGCAGGCTCCCCAGGGGATAACTAGGGGCCAGTCAGTCGGAAAGTTTGCTGTCTCGGTGTTTAGTCTTTCTCTTACAATGTTCAAATACAATCACAGAAGCATCACTATTCTCAGGCAACAGAAATTGGCTTGAACTTCAAAAATTATTTAAAATTTTCCTTCTCCTTAAATTTGAGTATTTATTCATCTAACTATACACAGTTACTGTATCTATATTTGCAGGCAGTATAAAGTGGCCAGTACATGCAAATCCTTTGAAAACATGTTCTTGCAGTTATTCCCCTATGGATTTGCATTTTTATATTCGGAAGCTTCCAGTTTCACAGAAGCCATAATGTAGATAGATGGACTCACAAGACTGGAGACTGCCTTTTCAACACACCAGTACTTACTTGACGATGCCATAACCCAAGCTCACAATAATCACTAGTAGGCGTGCCAATGTCCTCTTAATCGCTGATATCAACTCTGCAAATATCAATAAACCTTGAGCTGGGGACAAAAAAAGGAAAATAATTCACTCACTCTGTGTACACTGGAGTCCTGCCACCAAGATTCTAAGTATGTAGTGGACAACTCTATTCTGACTGCAAACGAATTAGCCAGACTTAAGAGTCTAATCCAATTATTATTTGAAAACCTCAGTGTAGGGGAGTCACTACCTTCAGAAGAACTGACTCCTTATTTGATCATCTCTGATGGGCACAGCTTTCTTCTATCAACCTGAACTGAAATCTGTCTCCCGAAGCTTCCCTCTGTTTTTGTTAATTCCCTTGACTTCTCAGAGGAAGTGACATCTAAATCAGTACTTGTTAACTTCTGAGAGGAGGGAAAGGGGAACGCAAAGGAAATGGCACATGTGAAGGCAGAAAGGGAAAAGAGGAAGAGCAAATACACCATAATGAAACCTCACTAAGTCTGCGGCAGGTCGTGTAATGAGAAAAGAAAGAAGTGACTGATAGAGGCAGGGACAGTCACACAGAGCTTTCAGGCCATGGTGTGAGTCTGGACTGGACCTAGGAAGTCAATGAGAGAAAACAGGGAATACAAGAGGAATTGGTGAACTATGGTCATCAGCCACACTGGGCTCTACATCTGCTTTTGTAAATATAGCCACGCTGGCTCACAGCCATTTATTGCCAGTGGCGGCTCTCATGCTATAATGGCAGGTGAGGGAAAGTCAGCAAGGAAGAAAAGTGAAAATGAAGATAGCACACATGCTAACCTAGATCAGAGTTCAACTCTGACATTTCTCTTCTTGGCTTCCCTCCATTCATCTATAGCATGGCTGATTCCCAGCCAGTGAAGGAAGGGAGTCCCCCACAGTGCAGGAAACAGATGCCAGCAGACTCCTGGGTTATACCATATTTATGGAGATGGTCACAACTTACTTGATAGTCCAGTGCTGTTGATATTTTGGTATTCGCTATAAAAAACAGCTTTTTCAAGCATTCCCAGGAAAATAACAGCTGCAATCCAGAACTGGATTCTCAATATATCTTTCCAATAACAGGCGGACCATGTTAGCCAGAGTATACCATATAAAATATAAACGATACACATCACCATGTAAAACTGTTGGAAGAGAAGGAATTTCAGTCAGTTAAGCCTTTTCTGATCACTTGAAAGTAGGCATTTCTATAATCAAGTATCTAATTTTTTTTATTTTCCAGTCATCCTAGAGTCAGAAGTAGAGATTAAGTCAAAGTACAAGCTACTGAGGGATTACTATCTCTGAGCCACTGATTTTTCACTTAAGATACAAAATTCATTTTTTTTTAAAAAGGAAACACTGGGACCCTCCCTGGTGGTGCAGTGGGTTAAAGCACAGCTCTGAGAATCTAAAGCCGCTTCTGCATTAGTTTGATTCCCGCCTGCCCTGGAGGTGACCACATGGCGTGGCAGACCTCTCCTGACCGGCCCGCTGCTCCCCTCAGCAGTGTACTTCGTTGATCTGCCTGTTCTGCTCCCCACTCTGTCTCTGGTGAAGCCTCTCACCACCCCTCATCCTCTGGCCTATACCCCAGTTCTGTATGCACAAATAAATAAATCTTAAAAAAAAAAAAAAAAAAACTGTATGCACAAATAAATAAATCTTAAAAAAAAAAAAAAAAAAGGAAACACTGATGAGGAATACTCACAATCATTAAAGGCCAATCTGATGCAGAGATATATCCATGAGGACCCATCATGGAAAGAGAAACTGGTAAAGGTTAGGGTGGGGATAAAAATTAAACAGTAAAATTAACAATCTTTTTTTAAGTTTTTGAACATAACAAAGAAATGCTGAATCTTTACATAGCACACATAAAGCATGGCTAATAAGTTAATAGTTGCTTGATTATGTAATCTTACCAAGATACCTTTGCTTGTGAAAATGCTTTTGTACAACCTGGGCCAAATGTGCCCTTTTGCAGACAGCACAGTAGCACTGGCTTAGACTGGCCCCTCACTGAGGGCTCTGTCTTCCCTATGCAGCTTCCTTAATGAGCTAAACACTGATTTCAAACATATAATTTGGGATGTTATCCCAGTCAGCACTAACAATGCTAAATACAGGAAATACTTGCAGAACTTGGCAACTGCTTCAGTTACTAATAGGGGATTTAATCCGTCTGCTGGTGTCTGGAGAAAAGACAAGCCACGGTACCAAGAAAGGAAGAGACACAAGGCCAGGCAGCAGAATGACATCAAGGTGCCGCTCCTCTACTGGGCGGTCTAGGCCATTCTACCATCTTCAAAAGGAAGTCCTCCTCTACGCTTTTCCAGAGCAGCCCCTCCTCTCGCCTCCCCCACGGTCTCCAGCTCTGCCTCCTCTGCCTGGCGCTTCCCTCTGCCTCCCCACTGGACAGAGTGCCTCTCAGAGGTAAGGCCCAGCTTACCTCTTGTTCCTACAGTCTGAGCCAGAGCAGTCTGCAAATTCGAGGATGCTCACATGCTCTTGGACCACTGCCAGCCCAGCGGATGTGCCGCTGGAAATGACAGTGAAGTAATCCCAGGATTATGACAGCAGTCATTCCTGTGAAAACTGCTCAGTATGAGCCTCTCGTGACTGGGCAATGTGAACTAGAACTAAAAAGGCACAGAGGGTCTACCATGAAGCCGGGGGACTAGGGGTTCGTACAAGTCACACTAACCAGCTGACAGACATACTACTACTCCTAGGCCACAGACTTTTCAACTTTTTTTTTCAAAGTATCAAAATTGTAAATTGATGATTTTATTTTTAAGAAACCAAACATAATCTACTTCAAGTGTAATTGAGGTGTTGCATACCCATTTCTACATGTTAAAATACATTTTTTTTTTAATCTGGAAGGGGAATTTTATATCCCACCATAAGGTTTACAGTTTTAACTTATCTTAATTTAAAATTTTCCAACCCATTTAAAAAAAAATAGAGTTGAGATAAACATAAGTCTCTAAATAACAGATTATTCATTTTTGTTATTTATAGCAATTCATTTGTGCTTGAACATTGTGCTTAAGCAGAAAATAGATTTTTGTCAATGGCAAAAATACAGAATACAGTGAAAGCAAGCAATAAACATGAATGCAACTTTATTATACCATTCAAATTCCATTGTGCATCTGTTTTTTCGGTTTTAATGGAAACAATAAAGATATGAAATCCATCTCTCTGTGTTCTGGCTACAATATCCTGAAACATGGAAAAAATAATCTTTAAGTTATTTTTTAAATTGCTATGTAAGAAATAATTAAATGGCTCATCCAAATTGAAACAGCATTTAGCAATTAAAATGAGCCCCTTCATAAAAACACTAACAAATAAAACAATGAAAAGAAATGGCATCTGTGAAAGGACTTTAGAAGGATTTGCCCCATTTTTTTTTTAAATCACCAGGCCTAAAGTGATAAAGAAGTGTAAAAGTTTTTCTACTCTATCTTTCTACAGATTTCCTCCTAGAACCATTCTATGTTTAAAAATTACCCTTCAATCAAAAAATAATCAATTCCTCCCATATTATATTCTAATATCACTAAGCATTCACTTTTCAAAAGGATGTGTGGTTTTAAACTGAAATGGGGGGGAGGAAGACATAATATTGTTAAAAATGATAGATCAAATTATTTAAATTTCTAAGGTACGATGTCACTAGCAGTCCCGGCAAGGAAGAACTGCCCACAGTAATACCTAAGAACATTATAATGCCTCACATACCTGGACCAAACTATGCACATTCCTGTTATTTCCTCCCCATCTCTTACTTCCTATTCCTTCACCAAAATAATGTGTACACAGCAGTAAGTCTGTCCCAAACACTGCAGAGTAAATGACTTTGTATTCTCAGACTATGATTTAAGATTGGTTGAGGGAAAAGAAATATGAAGTCAGAAATATAAAAGCAAACTTTAAGCTCTCTCCTAAATACCCCTATAGAGATGTTCCTACATATCTGTTCCTGCTTACCACGAACTACTCCTCTAACCCTCTCAACTTGTGAGTCTTCTGACTTTCAGTAATTCCCCCAAATACCACTGGATTCCCTTCCCCCCAACCTGTGCTACACCATGGTTTCCACCTACTTCTTTACATCCTTAATGGTGATCATACTGCCCAAAGCACCATAATGTTCTCTTGGATATTTGGAGGTAGAATTTGAGTTTTTAAATAAAAGGAAGGTTTAACTAAAAGGCTTCTAATAGCTAAATCTATAAAAAGCTCATATGACTCAATAAAGACCCAATCCAAAAATGGGTAGAAGAGCGAAGCAGATGCTTCACCGAAGACATACAGATGGCAAACAAGTGCATGGGAAAATAAGTCCAACATTGTCAGGGAATTGCAGGTCAACAATTTCAATACCACCTTACACCTGTCAGAATGGCAAAACAAACACAAGAACAACAAAAGCAAAGACAGGAACAACAAATGTTGGTGACATTGTGGAGAAAAAGGAACCCTCTGTGCACCACTGGTGGGAATGTAGACTGGCCCAGCCACTATGAAGAAAGAGTACGGGGCGGGGTCAAAACATAAAGATAGACACTGTGATCTACCAATCACACTCCTTGGATTTATGCAAAACACTGATTTGAAAGGATATATGCACTTCTATGCTCACTGTAACACCATTTACAATAGCCAAATTAGGGAAAAATCTAAGTGCCCAACAACAGTAATTGCATTAGGAAGTTGTATATATACACGTTGGAATATTCTTCCACTATTAAAAAAAAACCTCCTGGCCCTCCCTGATGGCGCAGCGGGTTAAAGCACAGCACTAAGAAGCTAAAGCCACTTCCGCATGAGTTCAATCTCTGCCTGCCCCGGGAGTGACCACAAGGCACAGCAGAGCCTGCTGCTCCCCTCAGCAGTGTGCTTTGTAGATCTGCCTGTTCTACTCCCCACTCTGTCTCTGGTGAAGCCTCTCATCGTCCCTGCACCTCTGGCCTGTACCCCAGATCTGTAGCGCAAATAAATAAATCTTAAAAGAAAAAAAAAAAACAAAACCTACCATTGTGACAACATGGATGGAACTGGAAGGGATGATGCTATGTGAAATAAGCCAGAAGTAGAAAGACAGATAATGGATGACCTTACTCATAGGTGGGACACAGAGAAACAAAACAAATCAAAGGAACTGATGAAACTAAACCAAAACAAACTCTATAGAGATCTGGCAGCAAAACTGAGGTGACAGAGGGACAGAGGGGAGGTGGGAACTAAGCGAGGAGCACACTGGTCTACGGCGAAGGGGTAAGGGTGCTGTGGCGGTGGGCTGAGGCACATGAACATACTTCCTTAATGTTTTAGGTAATGTGCTTAGGTATTGACTTAGCCAATGTTACATCACTGAAAAGTAGTAAGAATAAAAAAAGAAATGTTTTGTAGAAGTTAATCTTAAAATAAATTTTAAGAGATTTTTAAGGACAGAAACAAATTATACAAAACTCAGATATAAGAAACACTTTGTTTTAAATGTTTTTCCTCTTTTAATTCTCTAAGCTCTATTTATGTAACTCAATGGGTATCTCTATCAGCAGACTTTTCAGTTTTACTATAATGTATATTTTAAAGAGAGAAAATGCCTTACCATTGACCCTCCGTGGTTTGAAACATTTCTATTACTTGTTATTAGTTCTTTATTCTAGAAAAAAGAATAACAATTCCATTTTATGTTGCTGCTTATCTACAGAGACTATTAAGAAAAAAATGGTGTCATAAACAAAATAAAGCTTGGAAAGCTATTATAAGCAAATAAATCTCATTATACCCCAAATGTGAGGAACAAAATTCTGTTTTTGAAAATTCCCTTAATGAGTATCATATTTACCACTGGTAGAGGGCATGAGGAATAACAAGGAGCCCCTAGGTGCTAAAACACTCCCTGCTTGGCCTGAGTCTACATGGCGTTGAGGTTTTGAAAATTCATTGAGTTGTACACTCCTGTGTATGCTTTACACTGTGTTTATCACACTTCAATACACATTCAAAAGAACTTTAACTTTTGCTAAAAACATATTTTCATTACAGAACTTATAGGAAAACAAAAATAAAATGATTCACAACCTCATTACCCAGGGATAATTGCTTTTAAATTTAGAATCGAATAACCTCCTATGCTGGGAGGAGAAAGTACATAAAGGAGGAGAGTGTTCCAGTGTATTCAATGTTGCTAAATGAAATAAACTGACAGAACTCTGCTCAGAGTACCAGGACATGGGATTTAATACACGGAGGTCACTGGTGATCTTCACTAGATTACAGATTATGATGGAATGATGGGAGCAAAGCTCTAACTGGAGTGGACAAAAGAGAGAATGAGGGTGCATTACTGGCAGATCATAAAAGGATGATCTTTCAAAAATCCTTTTTAAAGATGGTTCTGCAAAGGGTAAAATAAAATACAACAGTGATGCCAATACATAACTTATATACTACCACACATACAAAAGAACTACGTCTAAACGTGAACAAATTAAGCACGTTTCTTTATCAAAATACAGACTAAGCTGATACTGATATTCACTGGGAATCAAATAAATTCTATGTATATAAGGCAAGACAAATACTCACATTCAATGATGGGAACACCTGTAAATCACTATTGCAATCCAAGTTTTCGTTTTTTGTTGCCCAACAATCAATGTTCTTGAAATAATGACCACAAAAATCTTCATCAACACTAAGTTCATGGCTTCGTGACAGCTCCTACCCAAAAGAAAATTCTTATAATTTTTTTCCAAATGTCTTAGCCAAGAAGATAAATAAAAGTTAAAAGCTAAATAATACCAACATCATTCAGTTTGGAATACCTGAAATATGCAGAATGAAAGACCTGAGTTTTGAGTATAATGTTAAGTACAACTGAGGTAACCTTAACAGTTAGTTAGCCATTCCAATGTGCTCAGACATATAGGACTTAACATAGGCATAGTCTTCTAGTACGAAAAGCAATTAAGGTATGTCTGTGGACAAATAGGACATACTCTTTCCTGAGACTACTTTCATTTTTTCCTCTACATGTAAGAGACAAAGAAAGAAAGCAGCAATAAGCCACAAAGAAAGACAAACCAAATAGTAACAGAAAGCAAAGGTGGCTAATTCAGCCTAAAGAAGACACTCATTTCCGTATCAGTGACCTGTGGTTCCTCATCCTGCAAAGGATAAAGACAACCTAACCACAGCTCCTAGGCATCAAGAAAAGGTTAAGTGACTCCTGCTGGCCAAATAAGCAACAGTTTGAGCAAAGTAAATCAGAACTGTGGTACATTATAACCCACAAACACAGTAAAAATCTGAGTCCATCCTGATAACTGATCTATGCGAGGTAAGATAAAGGAAAACAATAGAAGACTAACAAATGTAGATATATCATTACTAATTTTCTTAATGAAGTGAAACTTATACATTTATTTCTTGAATTAAGTTGATTTTTATTTCTAAGTAACCTATGGTCCTTGTAGCAATAGTTCCTATGTCTGATTTAAACATTAGTAACATTTTTCTTAAGAAGATTAATAGTCTTCTCAGAAAGAATATATTTTGACAGACATAATTATTTATTGCCAAAGTCCCAAAAAATTTGTGAAACTTCTAAAACACAAATCCAGTATTTCTAGTCCCCTTACCTAATGACTATTAAATATGGACCCTCAAATCTCTCTTTTACAGTTATTACATAAACTAAAAATTTGTGTTTTACTTACTTCCAGCTCAAAATGTTCATTGTGACAGATATGGTACTTCAAATGCCACTCTATAGTAAACTTCACAGGCCCAGAACAGCTGAATGACTTAACTGTTTAGAAAAAGAAAGTCTCATTTTACAATAATAACATATGTATAAATTTAAGATTTTAAGAATGCAACTGAAAATAGACTACTTTAATGAAATAATGAGTACTATATTACCTAATTTCTCCCAAAGTCATGACAAGTGAGACATTAAATTATTATAGTCAACCAAGAGTGATTATAATACTATGGCTGCATCTATATGCTGAGTCCATTGTAACAATCAACTCAGTAGCTGGACAGGCTAAGTCATTGCTTAATTGATCTAAAATGTTTCCTTTACTCACTGATTCATTAAAGAATTACTAAGTGACCACTTTCTATGTCCAGGATGAGATATAAGGGTAAAGTAGAACAGTCCCTATCCTTGAACTAAGAGATACTGAGGGAAGGGGAAGGCATTTTTGATAGAAGAAGGTTTCAGGGGCCTCTTGGCAGGGCACCTAACACAGTATAACAGAGCATAAAAAATGGAGTTCAGTATGCTTTCTGGAAGAGCCCTTTAACATGAAAGAAGATGAGGAGTCCGCCAGATGAGAAGGTCAACAGCATACGCAAATGCCCAGGTAAGTGAGACTACTGTCCCATGTGTGTCTATTCTTACACCAGTACCACACATTTATAATTACTGCAGCCTTATAGTAAGTTTTAAAGTCAAATAGTAAAGTCTTTCAACTCTGTTCAGTTTCAAAATTGTTTTTATTATTCCAGGTACTTTGCATTTTCATACCAATTTTATAGTCAGACAACTTCTACATAAAAATCTGCTTGAATTTTAACTGGGATTAACTCAATTTATAGACGGGGGAGGGGGAGCGACAATGATATTGATGTTTTTACAGATGCCCTTTATCGTCCTTCTATTTCTAGTTTTCTGAGAGTTTGTTGATTTTTTTCCCAAATACTTTTCTGTATATACCAAGATGATTATATGGTACATGTCTCTCATCCTGTTAATATGGTGAATTACATCGAGAGCGTTTCCACATTGGGCTGACTACCTCTTGAACAGGACAGTAAAAGAGGGAAAGCCGGATGTCTCACCCACAAAATAGTATTGACACCTCAAGAAAACCAGTCCTTAGCTCTATGACACTAAAATTGGGCTCTGTAAGAACAGAGACTCAGTCCTTCACTATAGCACCAAATTACTAAATTTATCTAATCTAAAAAGCTAGAGTTCAGAGTCATATTTCATAGAAATCAAATTTTTTTTTTTTGCTAAAGACTACTAGACTTTGGTGATAATTTTTTTAAGCTTTATTTATGTATACAAAACTGGGGTATAAGCCAGAGGTGCAGGGGCAGTGAGAAGATTCACCAGAGACAGAGTAGGGAGCAGAATGGACCAACTGACGAAGTATACTGCTGAGGGGAGCCGGGGGCAGGTCAGGAGAGGTCTGCCGCACCATGTGGGTCTCCTCTGGGGCAGGCGGGGATGGAACTCACGCTGAAGTGCTTTTAGCTTCTTAGTGCTGTGCTTTAACCCTCTGCGCCACCAGGGAGGAATGATTCACATTACATTTTGGGAGACAGGTTGAGAAAACTCTATTCTTGCAAATAACTGTCTTGATTGCAACAAAAGAAACCCTTAAAACACTAGAACCACTTAAAAACAAAACAAATGTTTCATTTATAATATAGATTATATTAGTATACAATATATTAATGAATTAGCTTATAATATACATTGCAAGATGTTCCTTACTTATATTGTTACATTTGTATTTATTTTATAAGTTTGTCACACTTACCAGAAAACTTGATATCTGTAGAGTTAAACATAGTTTTCCTAAATATCAATGGTCCTGATTTCTAAGACAAAAAATAAGGACACAGTTTTAAAAAGTTTCTCAGTACTATTTCATTGCTTCACCCTAAAAAATATATAGCTCTAATCCCATGACCACAGTGATTTTTTTTTTAAGATTTATTTATTTACACATACAAGAGCTGGTGTGTGTGTGTGTGAGAGAGAGAGAGAGAAAGAGAGAGAGGATTCACCAGAGACAGAGTGGGGAGCAGAACAGGAGGACTGACTGAAATACACTGCTGAGGGGAGCAGAGGGGGGTCAGGAGAGGTCTGCTGTGCCAAATGAGTTAGTTCTCTGACTGGGGATCAAACTTGTGCTGGGGAGAGCTTCCTAGTGCTGAGACTTAACCTCTGCGCTACCAGGGAGGTCCCCACAGTGACTATTTTTTTAAAATGTACAATTGATTATATCACTCACTTGCTTAAAACCTCACCTGCCTGCCATATCAATTTCCTTCAGTTGTGAGGAGTGCTCCCCCCTTGAGTGTCCTGGACCAGCAACACACAGGTGAGGGGTGCTGCCATTGATGACTACTGCTGCTGGAACACAGGACCCATCTGTGTATTTATAGCTGCTGTTCCGGGAACATGCACGTACTTTTGATAAAACAGCAATTCGTTCCCTAAAGTGCTGTAGGTTTGCACTATACTTATAACAGCTTGCCACAACTACAGGGTCCTGCATAATCAAGGCCAGCCCCCCTCTCTTTAGTTCCAAAAAGCATGACTGAGTCTCCCTACTGCACCCACAGCCTTAGTGGTCAATCTGAAAACTTCCCTAAAAACCCTTCCATGCCACTGCTTCATCCAGTGAATTCCTTCTTATTGTTCCAGGCTAGGTTCTAAAGTCCTTTCTCAGGAAGTCCTCCACTATGGCTTACACCACGCCAGGCACCTTACATGGTTTTGAAGATCCAATTATCTTCATAACCCTTACCACAACTAAAATGAAATAGTGATAATTGTTTAATGCCTGAATGGATTGTGTTAAATGAACAACTGGTTAAAAAATTTTTAAAACAGACATTTTTTTCCCTTATTAATGTCTTCCTCCCTCCCAGGAATTTCAATATCAAAACAATAAAACTCCCAGCCTGGATATTTCCTCTGATCCACATACTCAACTGTCTAAAGGTCAGGTCCTCTGCAATGTCCAACCTCACCTAAACCAGCAACATTCCTCTCCTCTCTTCACCAACTCTTTCTACACTATTCTGGTTGTAGGTGGTGCCACCCACAGTCACCAAGCCACGCTCCTCCTAGTGCCTCACCTCTATCACCCAGTCTGCAAGAAATACCTGTGGTATCTCACAAACATTTCTCAAATTTAGTTCTTTCCCTCCATTCCCGCCACCACTGCCTTAATTCGGGTCCTCAACATTTCCTGACTACCTTTCTACAACAACTTCATTGGTACCTATCTCCAGTGGTAAGGTTATAATTAATCCCTAGATAGCAGCGAGAGGGGTTATTAGCATTTATTAAAATCTACAATCTTTCAAAAAAAAAAATCTACAATCTTTCAATACTCCCTCTCATTCACCCCCCAAACTAGCAACTGGTGGCCAGGCAACCTGTTCTAGTCTATAGGGGTTTGGCCCATCAGGGGCCTTTTTAAAAGCTTTAAGTTAGTTAACATAATAAAATTATGGGCCCTGGCTCCACTTTATAAAAAGGAGACCTGGCAATTTTGTGCCCACATTGCCACTGCCATATAGTATTCACCAGCTGCCGCTGCTGGGCACTTGCCCTCTGTAGAAGGGTATGCAACCTGCATGATGTCCACCCCATTGCCCGTGACGCCCTCCAGTCCTGAACCTACTTCACTTCACTCACTGACTGGACTTGATTCAGCTACCACAGGTCTCTGAGTTTGAGATCCCTGACTTGAAGCTCCAGGCCACGCTTGGGCAGGAAAGACTGTGAGACCCTTCTAACCCTCTTGCCTGAACTTCATGAAGTCCAGGCCCTAGGAATTTCTTGTACTGCTGCTGTTCTACTCCCCTCTTTCTTCTTCACCAGAGTGACAGCTACTCCTCTTTTAGAACCAGCCAGCAGAAAACATAGGGTGGTCATTCTAGCACTTGGCTAATATCCCAAAATGCTGCCCACATATATAATTACTACTCATGAATCTGCTGTGACTACTATTGCTTGAGTCTCCCTAGAGAAGGGGCTGTATCTAAAATTCACCTTTGCAATAATGGTCAGTGTAGAACAATGGTGCACAGTAGGTGCTCAAACGATTCGCTGATCTTTACAATAAAAAAAAAACCATTTCTTGATAGATTAGCAGTACAAATGAAAGAGTTCCCCATTCTCCCTTTTTGTTTAAAGAAGTTCTATTAACTTGGAAAGGGACATTATCATACTACTTAACAACAAAGGGCCTTATGAACTGCTACTGACCCAGTCACAAAGGACTAAGCTTATGTGGGACCAGAGGAAAAAAAAGTGTGTTTGTCAGTCAGGAGGCAAAGGCACTCCTCTCCTATCCGCCTTTGGAGTCTCACCACCCAAAGAATAATTGGCAAAGATCTTTAAAGATATGGTTAAGTACTTGACAATCTGTATACAGTTGATTCACTTCATATTTCTTATTCTGACTTAGATTATATCAGTGTGTGTCATGATGAACACAGCACGAAACCAGTTTTGCTTTTTAACAGTTCAGAGAAATTCAATAATGGAGATGCGCAGACATTACTGGTGCACAAAATAGGGCACCAATCCAGAAAAATCCTGGGAGATGGTTGCACTAGGGCTTAAAATATTTAGGAGGGTGTAGTTTGTGTTTTGTAGGAAGTGTTGGTGGCCTCTGGTTGAGAAAAAGAAAAAATCAAGGCTTTGCTTTTGACATCATTTCGATGCATGTGGAAAAGTCTCATCTGAAAGAATTGAATGAGTCATTCCTCTGATGCTAAAAAAGCAAGAATTAACGCCTCTTCCAGATTTTCCAAACCTCTTTAGCAAGAGTTTCCAAAATTCTACTCTTGCATTCCTCCCACATCATTCCATGTAATCACCAGATGCCAAGTTCTCAAATGATCAGCCCTGGAAAGTTAGTGTCCATACATTCATGCCTCCAGACACCTATCACACATCTCAACGAGCCTCCACGCTCACAGTTCCAGACTGTGATAGGGGCCTTAGAGAAATGCAGGAAACAAGAGGGGAGAGTGGTGAATGATTTTTGAATAATTCCCTGTTCATTAAAACGAAGAAACAAAAGGGGGGAAAAAATCATGCAAGCAGAACTTGTGCTTTTCTACATTTAAGCCCAAACAGTGGCCCAGGAAAGTCCTTGTGACTAAGGGGCGGGGGTCCTGTGGTGGCTTACAGGAGCAGAGGTCAAATCCCAAAAGATGCCACTAGAAGTGTCCTGGAATTCAGGGGCTTCGGGTTTGAATAAACCAGGACCTGACCTAGCCATAGCTTGTCAGAGCAGAGCGAAAGGGAATGGTGATCCTCGATATGAGTAACAGCGTTTAGAACGGTCCTCAAGCACAATTTTGATTGCAATCACCTTCCCCGCGCCCTGGACGGGCTGGTGGAGGGGTGTTCCCACCCACAAAGGACAAAGGCTCAGGGAGCGTCTGGGGGGGGGGGGGGAGGGTGCCCTGAGCAGGCCCGGCCGGCACAGATGAACAAGGCCATGGCCGGGCCGGAACCTTGGGCCGTGAGACCGAGCCAGCCCCGGGAGACGCGCCACGTCTGGGTTCCCCACTCCACTTACATCATTGACCGTCGCGGTCCACAGCCCGAGCTCGGGGACGCCGCCCACAACGGCCGGGGCCCAGCACAGGAAGCCGAGGGCAAAGCTCAGCAGCGGGGCCCTGGCTGGAAGGCGGCGGTAGGGCCGGAGCCAGGCCCCGGAGCGGCCGGCGGGAGCCATCTTGACGCGAAGCCGCACCTGGCGTTCCGTGACGCCGCCACGCCCCGGGTCCCCGCACCTGGTGCAGTTCCGCCCCTGGAAGGGGGCTGCAATAGGGCAGCGTGATTCGGCCTCGGGGGTTCACGGCTTTGGCTAGGGTGGGGAGGTGCGGTTCTGGCCTTGGGACCCGAGCTGAGACCGGCGACGGGGCTTAGGCGTGGGCCCGGCTTAGAACTGAAAGGGCTGGAGCGTGGAACTGGGGGGTTTGGGCGGGAGGAGCCGGGACGTGGACGAGGCCTTAGGGCCGGTCCGGAGTTGGGGGCGGGGTCAGTTGGGAGGCGGGGCCGGGCTCGAAGGTGGGGCTAAGAGCGAAGGTAGTGTTGACGAGGGCGGGGCTTGGAGGTCGGACCTGAATCAGGGCCAGACTGCGTGGGCGGGGCCGAGCGGGAGGCGGGCCACACCGTGGAGGCGGGGTCGAGCGGGAGGCGGGCCCGAGGGCGGGCCACAC